CTACATCCAAAGCCTCCAAGAAAAATATGAATTGGTCTCAGGCCATGGAAAAGCTCAAAAAGGATTTTGAAAACCAAGTAAGAAAGGTAGAGGAAAAATTGGGAAGAGAAATGAGAGCGATACAAAAAATCATGAGAAAAGAGTCAACAGTTTGGTGAAGGAGACACAAAAAAATACTGAAGAAAATAACGCCTTAAAAAACAGACTAGGTCAAATGGCAAAAGATGTGCAAAAAGCCAATGAAGAGAAGGATGCCCTAAAAAGCAGAATTGGCCAGATGGAAAAGGAGGTCCAAAAGCTCACTGAAGAAAATAATTGCTTAAAAATTAGAATGGAATAAATGGATGCTAATGACTTTATGAGAAACCAAGAAGCAATAAAATAAAGCCAAAATAATGGAAAAAATAGAAGACAACGTGAAATATCTCATTGGAAAAACAACTGATCTGGAAAATAGATCCAGGAGAGATAATTTAAAAATTATTGGACTACCTCAAAGCCATGATGAAAAAAAAAAAGAGCCTAGACAAGATCTTTCAAGAAATTATCAGGGAAAACTGCTTTGATATTCTAGAACTAGAGGGTAAAATAGAAATTGAAAGAATCAACCAATAACTTCCTGAATGAGATCCCAAAATGAAAACTACCAGGAATATTATAGCCAAATTCGAGTTCCCAGGTCAAGGAAAAAATATTGCAAGCATCCAGAAAGAAACAATTCAAGTATTGTGGCGCTACAGTCAAGTTAGTATAAGATTTAGCAGCTTCTACATTAAAGGACCAGAGGGCTTGAAATATGATATTCTGGAGGGCAAAGGAGCTAGGATTATGACTAAGAATCGCCTACCCAACAGAACTGAGTATAATATTTCAGTGGAAAAAATGGACATTCAATGAGATAGAGAACTTTCAAGCATTCTTGATGAAAAGAACAGAGCTGAATAGAAAATTTGACTTTCAAATACAAGACTGAAGAGAAGCATAAAAAAGGTGAACAGAAAAGGGAAATCAACAGGGACTTAATAAGGTTAAACTGTTTATATTCCTACATGAGAAGATATTTGTAATTCATAAGACCTTTCTCATTATTAGGGTAGTTAGAAGGAGTATATAGAGACAGAGGGTACAGATGTGAGTTGAATTTGAAGGGATGATATCAAAAAAATAAAATTAAGGGATGAGAGAGGAATGTCCAGGAAAAAGAGAAAGGGAGAGGTAGAATGGGGTAAATTTATCTCACATAAAAGAGGCAAGAAAAAGCTTTTACAATGGAGGAAAAGCGGGGGGAGATGAGAGAGAGTGAGTAAACCTTACTCTCATCAGAATTGGTTCTAGGAGGGAATAAGATACATACTCAATGGGATATAGAAATCTATCTTGTCCTACAGGAAATTAGAAGCGTAAGGGGATATGAGAAAGGAGGTGGTGATAGAAGGGAAGGCAGATCATGTGAAGGGATAGTCAAAAGCAAAAACACTTTTGAGGAGGAACAGGGTGAAAGGAGAGAAATAGAATAAATGGGAGAATAGAATAGAGAGAAATACAGTTAGCAATAGTAACTGTGAAAAAAATTGTGAAGCAAGTTTCTCTAATAAAGGCCTCATTCCTCAAACATATAGAGAACTGAGTCAAATTTATAAGTTTTCAGATGAAGTAATTAAAGCTATCCATAGCCATATGAAAAATTATTCTAACTCACTATTGATTGGAGAAATGCAAATTAAAACAATTCTGAGGTACTACCTCATACCTATTAGATTGGCTAATAGGAAAGAAAAGGTAAATGACAAATGTTGAAGAGGATGTGGGAAAAAATGAGACATTTGGTGGAGTTGTGAACTGATTCAACCATTCTATGGAGCAATTTGGAATTATGCCCAAAGGGCTACAACAACCATGCATACCCTTTGACCTTGCAATACCACTACTAGGTCTGTATCCCAAAAGAGAGGGGAAAAAAAAACAAAAAAGAAAAGGACTTACATGTAGAAAAATATTTATAGCAATTCTTTTCTGGGGACAAAGAATTAGAAATTGAGGGGATGCCCATCAACTGAGAAATGACTGAAAAAATTGTAGCATGTAATTATAATGGAATACCATTGTACTATAAGTAATGATGAGGAGGATGCTCTCAGAAAACCTGGAAAGACTTGCATGGGTTGATGAAAAGTGAAATGCACTGGGTATAAAGTAACAGCAATATTGTAAGATGATCAGCTATGAATGATCTAGCTATTTTCACAATACAACAATCCAAGACAACTCTGAAGGACTTAGGATAAAAAATGCTATCTATCTCCAGAGAAAGAACTGATAGTGTCTGAATACAGACTGAAGCATACTTTTTAATAAATAAGCAAACAAACAAACAAACAAACAAATAAATAATTACCTTGAAATAGAAGCATCAACACTAAAAAAATTGAAAACAGCAGGACCCAAAAGACAATAAGATGTGTAAATAATTTTGGTAGCATAGTAAGTAACTCAGGTTCTTCACCTAAAGCACAATTACATATAAAGATCAGAACCGGGGCTCTCATGAGAACCCTTACCACATCTTTCCTCCCCATCTCCAACTCCCATACCCCGACTGAGCAGAGAGCAAAGCCATATATGTGGCCAAATTCTCAGCCCCTGTAGTTGTGGCTGCTCACTGCCCCAACCTTTGCACCCTATAGTAGACACATCTCTCCCTTCCACCAATAGCATTATCATGTCCACATCCCCTTTCTTCATCCCCAGGTCAGGCCACATCACCTGTTGTTAGCCCCACTGTCCATTTATAAGATAAAACTTTAGGCTGTATTGATAAGGATACCATGGAGTACAAGCAGGATAGGGGGCCAATTTTGTGTACTTTTTGAATAGGTGTTATACTGAGAGTGTCTCAGAGATACAACGGAATTCAGAGGCCTATCTTATTCAATGCATGTTTGAATCAAAATCTCCTCTAAGACTCCCTACAAGTGGTCAGCCAGCCTTTGCTTAAAGACTTACAGGAAGGGGTAACTCACTACCTCCCACAGGGCCCCTTTCACTTTGGTATTGCTCTAATTGTTAGGAAGTTTTTCCATACACCAAGCCTAAACTTGTCCTTTTGCAACTGGTGTTCTCAAAGAAGAAAGAACTGCTGTGGGCCTCCGGTGGGATAGGGAATTGGGGCTGTTTTTCACTCAGAGCTAGCTTGAAACTGAGAAAACCAGGCCGTGCTACTGCTTCTGTCTCTGTAGTGTGCTTTCTTTCCTTCTTTTAGGTGACAGAGTCTTGGAAATGGGTACAACCTTGTGAACTTCAAAAGATACCATCAGGATGTCTGGGGGCTAGAGACCTTGCAAAGATTTACCAGAAGTCATACAAAAAAAAAAATCCCAAAGAACCTGAATGACCCAGGCCAGCTGGAGGATAGACGCAGACTCATTCATCCATAGGCTGTGCCATACTTGGAAGTCAATCTGGTGGGAACAATGCTACATATAAATTGTTTTAAGTTTGATTCTACTCCTCCTAGGGACTGAGGTGGGATAGGGAAGATTGTACTCCAGGTGTTGGGAGGAAGTATTTGTAATTATGTTCTTGAAATATTTTAGTAAACATCCTTTTCAAAAAAGCTAATTGATATTAATTGCTTAAATGGAACTGGGACACTAATCACTAGCAATTAACAGTGGTGAGAGCATAATGGGATGAGGAGTCAAGCTGAAAACCTTAGAAAAAGATGCTTTCATTTTTCCCAATGGTACCCTAAAATCCTGAAAAGAGATGAAACCAGTCTCACTGTAGAAGACTAAGGTGAGAGAATAGCGACATATAAAACAATCATACTTATCATGAGATCATAGATTTAGACCTGGAAGAGACCTTAGGCTATCAAAGCCATCAAGTCCAAACTTCTAATTTAACAGATGAGGAAACTGAGGCACAAGAGGCAAAAATCACTTACCCAGGAATATGCAGCCAGTAAGTGCTTGAAGTGGGACTTGAAATCATGTTTTTCTGATACTGGATACAGTTCCCTAGCCACTATACCCTGACTCTTAGTCCTTTATTAAAAATAAACAAGAACAAGAACGGACCTTAGAGACCAATTGGTCCAACTCTCTCACTTTACAGATGAGGGACTGAGGCCTGTGGAAATGAAATGACTAGTCTAAGACCATTCATGTAGTAAATAGGAGAGCCAGGACTTGAATCCAAGTCCTTTGACACCAAATCTAGTACCATGCTGCCTCCTAAAATTAAAGTCATCCTAATGTGATTTGGATTCAAGTCAAGGGTGACTCAGTCACAACACAAAATACAGTGTCAAAATAGGCTTGATTTTCCTCATTGTGCTCCTACTCCCTGCCCCTAACCCACCTTACCTTAGGGACATTCCAGACCCACGGGTCTATGGGACCAGAATTTATAGATTCCCTCTATATTTCTCAAGTCACAAAGTGTTCCTTGGCCAGATTAGTTTGAGAAGTACTATTCTTCATCATCCCCGTATCTACCCATCTGGTAGTTTTGTTCCAGTCTGTCTATTTGTGCTTGACTGCTTTGGCCTTGAGAAGTAGAGGACTAGGTAGGAGCACTGGTATAGAATATGTGTGTGGAGGAAGGAGAGAAAGGAGAAGCCCTAAAATGGTGTTCCTCTTTAAACAACTCCCCCATTCCCAATTTCTTCCCTTTGTAGCTTTCTTTTTTTTCTCCCACTTTCCTTCTCCTCTCCCTTCTTCTCAGCAAACCCTCCTAAAGAGACCATCTGGAATTTCTCTCTTTATGTGCTCCCCAAATCTTAGCAATGCCTATCATGCTCCTTCTGTTCCATGCCCCAAGGCTGTAGAGCCTGAGTTCTTTGGAATGGAATGAATATGGAGATTCCCAGAGAAAATCTGGCAAATAATACAAGGAAATCCAAAGGAGGATAACCAGGATGGTGAACAGCTTTGAGCTTGTGCCATAAAACAAAACTGGTAAAGTTTAGCATTCTCATTCCTCCAGTTTGGTGATTGTCATAGCCTGGAGAAGAGAAGACTTAGCCAGGGCGTGATAATTGTTTGCAGGTTTGAAGAACCATTCTTTAGAATGTGAATTATACCTCTTCTGATTGTCCCTGTGGGACAGAACTAATAGCAATGGGTGAAAGCTGCAGAGAGGATGATTTAAATATGATGTAAGCAAAAATGTAATGATGAAATTTATCCAGAAGTAGAAAGGACTGCCTCCCCAAGGGAAGTAGCATGACTTCTCATTAGAAATCTTTAAGTAAATGCTGGAAGCTCTACTAAATTCAACAAGCATTCATTAATTATCTTCCATGTGAAAGGCACCAGGTGAGGGGTCAAGAATACAGGCCAAATGAAAATAGGTACCTGCTGGTCATGTAGAGAGACATTTCTCATTCAGAGAAGTATTAGAGTAGATAGCCTGTGAAGTCCCTTTCAACTAGAACATTCTGTGATTCCAGGAATCACAGAGCTAGGAAGGAAGTCCTTCCCCACCCCCATATATGCACACAAACATGCCAAATCCAGGGCCCAGCTCTTCACCTGAGACTTTCAGCTCCATTTCAGCTTGCTCTTGGTGAAAACCATCTGCAATGAGACACATATACTTTCCTGCATCCAAGAGTCTCACATTCAGTATCTCCAGAGTGATATTCCCACTTGTGACAGCATCTCTCAACAGCTCCGTCCTCCCTTGGTAATCACGGGCCTGGTCTCCTAGCTGATCCTCTCCATATCGATAGAGATGTGCCACCTGAGTGGATTGCAACCAGAGCACCTCCATGTGCTGAGCACTCTGAGGTGGGGTCAGGTAACATGGTAACTCTGCCTCTCCCCCAAGTGAGATCTGGATGGATCCTGCAGGTCCAATCACTGAGAACTGCCCTGTTCAATCAGGCAAAAAAAGGACAAAAGCAATCAAAAATGAGAACAGCAGAAGGTAGATGGGGTCAGATTTCAGTATGAAAAAGGGACAAAAGAAAGGAACTTCGAAGTAGGATAGGGAGGGAGGAAACATGGTGGAAGATTTCAGAGAGAGAGAAGTAAAGAGGTAGGGGATAGATTAGGAGGATAATGAAAAAGCCTTAGCAGGGAGAGAATAAGGAAGTTAAGAAAATCCCAAGAAAAGACTAGGAGAATATCAGGTGTATGACTTGGGAGAACATGAGGAGTAGGGCAAGACAGAATCTCTATAGGCTCAACCATCAGCCTTCAGAGCTCCTGTTCCAGGCCAGAAGAAGCCAAATAAACAGAAGCAAACACTTACCTAAGGCCATTTTGGGCATCATGAGGAGGAGGAAGGCAATGAGAGAATTGAAGAGACAGGCTCCTAAAGGACAGAGAATGTCCATCACACCTGGGAGAGAACAAAAGGAAGGAGGAAGAGGGATTAGTGACTGTGGTAGGGAAATAAGCATGGGAGGACAAATAATGGGGAAGTGGGACACTGTCTGTGACAGGGACACAAGGGCCCAGTGACTTTCTGTGACATAGGAACACCAGTATATATGACAAGGACATAGAAGAACTATGACTGTGATAAGAATATGGGCACTGGTTGTGACAAGGACACAGGGCACCAGGAGCTATGACAAGGACATGAAGGAGCTTCAATATAACAATATACCGTACTGTGATTGTGACAAGGTGAGTGGTGGTGGTATCAAAGAGATGGAAATGACCCTGTGAGTGGGGAGTGGTGATTACTCACCTTGAAATGACACCAGATCTCCTTATGGAAGGGGGAGCCTGAGGACCCCTTAAGGATGCCCCTTCACTCCAACTTACCTTCATTCCTTCCACCTCATGCACAAAGAGGTCCATTCATGCCAAGGAACATTTTGGGTAGGTAGAAAACCCAAAATAATGGAGGTATCTAGGGAAAAAATTGAGAGAGGAATTGTTCAGTATGAGGCTTCCCCTGTTAACCAGCTATGGGGGAGGCTCCTGAGTCCCAGGACCCCCTTTAGGAGGGAGGCAGGATGCTCTGCTGCTAGTTCTCCCTCCTGGTTGCTCCACAGAGGGACCAAAAAGCAAAATGTAACATTGGGAGTAAGGGAAAGAGTCTCCTTATGAACCAACCTAAAACTCAGGCCACATACTTACTCATTCCAGAACTGTCCCCAAGATATATCCTCTACTCCCAGGATTCTAACAGTATCCCCCACTCCCTCTCTTTCCTGTGCATTTGGGGAAAAGTGACTCATGATTGGTTGAGAGATCTATGAGCCCTGTGATCCTTGACTATATATACAGTGGCTTGATTTCTGATTGGAAGAAGAAATAAGAAAAAGGTAAAGGAAAAGGAGAGCAAAGATGAGAAAAAAGAAGGCACAGATTTGAATGATGAATAAGAGACCACTGAAGTCACAGGTATGAGGGGAGGGGAGCAGATATACCAGCATGTTGCTCAATTGCCAGTATTTACACCCCTAATACACTGCCAAGAGTGGATATATTGAGTGAAATCATTCTTTCCCTGGTTAACCTTAGATTTTGTTGTGCTCCTGGACAGCAGAACCCCAGTTATTGTGTATTTTATCACCTAAATTAATCTGTATGACTTCCTAAATTACTCTTTTATGAACTTGATTTGAAAAATGTTTCTTCCTATCTGTCAATGTCTTGTGTAAATAGTATAAGAAAAGAAAACATTGATTTTGTATTCTATATTTGATTTCACTCAGTTCTGTAACTGCCTAAGTCACAGTTCTTTGTCTCTGAACATTGTTCAGAAATTCAGCTGGTCTGTAAAGAGTCAAGCTTAGAAATCTAGTTCTCTTGCTAATTGCTGTTCTTTTCTCACCTCAAGGAAATCTGCTATACGTGAGTAATACGGGTGGACGCCAGGGAATCTGGTCCAGTTTCTATACACCACCAAGCTATCCTTCAAGGATATTGGTACACTCTTTCTGACCTTGTAGGTATATTCCAACAACAAACATTTCTTAGTCACAGAAGGGAAGGAGGGGGTTGTTGCCAACCCCTCTCTCCTACTTTTCAACCAATCATGTTGTTTCCCATGCCTTAGCTATATAACCAATCATGCTATCTTCAACCCCATGATGTTATCAATTCTATAGCAAATTACATTATTTCCTCATCTACCTTGTTCTGTTCTTTGTTCTATTCTTATAAAAAGGAGATGCATCTTGATCTAGGGGTCTTTGGGCTAACTGAGGCAGTCATTAGACCCACTCTATTGGCAGGTTTGCACCCTATTCATAAACTATGTGCCTCAGTTTACATTCATTAAATTTTACTCATAATAAGTGCATAGTGGGAGGTGAAGTTAAACTGTCTGAGATTAATCTCTTATTTGGCAGATCTAGGTTGGAACTATTTCCCCACCCACTCCCAGCAACTAGAGAAATTGTTTTTTTATACTGAACTCCAAAAGAATCATGTCCTTATAATTGAAATGTCTGACTGTAATAGCTAGATATAATTCCAAGCCCAATATTTCACTTAAAGATAGTAAGAAGTAAGCATGCATCGACTGCAGTCTCTTTACTATCCACAAAGATAGAGTTCCAGTTTCCTAGGAGTTGTGAGGCGGGGCATCTCCATATCTATTGATATATCCCTGGCCTTTATTGTGTGTTCCACTTTGTTATTCATAAAAGCTTATCCACAGAAATAATTTCACACTATGGTTGTTCTCTTATTAAAAATTTTTTAAAATATGTTTTGGAGCATTTACAATTTAGTGATGATTCTGAAGTTCCACTACTAATGAATATTTATATAAAAATTTTTAAATAAAAAACTAGCAAGAAGATTATAGCATTATGTCATCAAGATCATCCACTATGACCAGGTGGGATATATGCTAGGAATGCAGGGCTGGGTCAAAATTAAGGAAATATAAGCATAATTGACCATATCAATAAGAAAAGCAACAAAAATCATATAATTATATCAATAGATGCAGAACAAGCTTTTGATAAAACACAGCACACATTCCTATTAAAGACACTAGAAAGCACAGGAATAAATAGAGCTTTTCTTAAAATGGTAAGTACTATCTATCTAAAAATAAGAATAAACATTATCTATAATGGGGATAAACTAGAAGCTTTCCATAAGATCAGGGATTAAGCAAGGATGTCCATTCTCACAATTACTATTCAATATTGTATTAGAAACAATAGCTACAGCAATAAGATAAGAAAAAGAAATCAAAAGTATAAGAATAGACAATGAGGAAACAAAACTATCACTTTTTGCAGATGATATGATGGTTTACTTGGAAAATCCTAGAGAGTCAACTAAAAAACTAGTTGAAGCAATGAACAACTTTAGCAAAGTTGCAAGATACAAAATAAATGCACACAAATCATCAGAGTTTCTATATATTACTAACAAAATACAGCAGGAGACACAGCCTGGTTAATTTATTATATTTCCATAAAATAGAAGAAATATGAAAATAATGATATTAAGAATAAACAGTTTATCTCTGAAATATTCTTTGGAAACCAATTCCAGTATTCAGGGTACCAAGTTATATCTGTGCCCAAAAAGATCAAAATTAGAAGAAAATATAACTGAAAAAAATGGAGAGAAAATTGCATTCAATTAATGAAGTCAACAATAACAAAAATCCATTGTTGCAAACAGGAAATTTAAAAAAATGTAAAAGCTTCCAGGTACCACTTTCAAACCTAAGATGAAACATTTTCCTGCAAGGCAAGTGAATGCCAATAAATCCTTCTAAAATTCACCCCTGTAGCATAGTGTTCAACAAACACAAAGATCCTAGTTTCTAGGAAGAAGATTCACTTTGACAAAATCTTCTGGGAAAATTGGATAGCAGCTTAGCAAAAATTACGGTTAACCAAAAACTCACACACAAGGTAAGTAAGCGCCAAATGGATTCATGATCTAGTTATAAAAGTTGTATCATTTTTTTTAAAAATAGAGGACCAAAGAAGAAATTATATTTTGGATTTCAGGATTGGGGAATGGTTCATAACTAAGTGATAGAGAGAATCTCATGATATGAAATTGATAATTTTGGCTATGTAAAATTAAAACCTTTTTACTTAAATCTAATATAAAGTTTGAAGGGAAACAGATAAATGGGAAAAAAGCTACAAGTTTTTCTGATAATGATCTCATATTAAAGATACATTAGAGAACTGACTCAAATTTATTAGACTAAAGAGTCATTCTCCAATAGAAAAATGGTCAAAAGATAGGAAGAAGCAGTTGTCACTCCTCTCAAGATTTCACTCCTGACTCTCCAAACATTCTCCACCATGCCACAGCAGCCTTTTTCACCTGGAAGTTCATTCTACCTCTGTGGCCTCTTCATTTTGGAAGTTCACTCTACCCTTAACCTACTCACCCTGGAGGTTCACTGAACCCCTCTGGCCCCTTCCTCTGATACAGTGGTTTCTCCTAGGAACTTCATTTTAAGAAAAGTATAGAGGTTAGCCATGTATGTCTTCATTCTTCTCTTGGCTGTACCTTCAAAAGGGTTTTAGAACTCTAATCAAATGCAATGATAAATTACAATTCCAAAATAATGACAATTGAGTGATCATTAGGTGGACTAATAATTGGTTAAATGGCTAGACATAAAGAATAGTTATTAGGGGCTTAAAGTCAACTTTCAAGATCTCAAGTGGGCTGCCTCAGGGATCTGTGTTGCAAAACCTCAGCATTTTGAACTGATGACTTGAATAAATGCCCGGAAGGCAACAAAGTAGATGCCCACCAATCAGTACACAAATATAATGAAATGTTAAGTTGCTGTGAGAAATGAGGAATAGTTGAATACAGTGAATCTCAGAGGAAGAAAGAGGCCTTAGATAAGCACCAAAGGAAGGAGTGGGTGTCCTGAGAAACTGACTTGTCAGTGAGGTTTAAGATCCGTTGTTTCCTTCACACACACAAAAAAGATTCAATTCAATTCTACATTCACTTTACTGTTGGAAAAGATACCAAATTTAGACTTCTCTGCATCTCTGGCTTTTTACAGGTCTAGTGAAGGGTTATGACATATACAAATAATAAGGAACAAAACTAAGAGGGCCAGGAAGGACATCTGAAAGGTAGGAAATAGCAAAAGCAAAGGCACCCTCTGGGAAAACAGAAGGCATATATGGTTCAGAGATAGAGAGTTGGTCAGTTTGGTTAGAGTGTAGAATATGGAAAGGAATAACAAAGATATCAGGCTTTAAAGGGACCTGATTATAGAGAATAATTTAATGCCAGGCAAAGGACTTGAAATATGGATCCCTAGGCAATAGGAATATTCTAGGGCATAAAAGGTCTCTAGTTTGATGGGTCTGGGGAATATTCCATATACTGCTGAGGGTAATATCCTGGAGATATGTGCTATCATGGTAAGATATCTTACAATTCAGGATCAAATTCCCAGACTCTGAGAAAGCATACTTACCTCATTATCTGTGCTGAGCTTTTTTTTTTTCCCTAGCTAAGGCTATGCTGGGTACCTGTGGTTGGCGATCTGTGTATGGAGTCTCTTTATTGAGGATCTTCACTCTACAAGATGATGCTTCCTGGATGCCTCCTGGGTTGGAAGTCAGTCATGGCATGGGAATCAAACCCCTTGTCTGCAGTTTCACTACTATCTCCTCTGCGCAATCCCTATAAATCTCCCTTTTCCCCAAAGCAGGGCATGGGTAGATACTTTTGTTCTCAGAAACTAAAAGGGGGGGTCCCCTGGAACTGAGCCTAGACCTTTACAATTCCCATTAACACCTTCTAAAACCTGCTCCAAATCTTCCTTTGGTATCTGCAGGATGTGACCTAGAATGTCCCTCATGCCCTCCTCCCTGAGTCTATATCCTGTGACTGTTTTATGCAGGTCTTTACAGGTGCTTGTTCTAGACCATCCCTCATTTCCTTCCCCTTTTTTCAAACCTGCCCCTCATCCTCCTGTCCTTCAAACATATTTCTCTCTGTCTCTATCTCTCTCTGTCTCTCTGTCTTTGTCTCTCTCTGTCTCTCTCTCCTCTTCTTTTCCCCTCTCCCCTTTCCTTCCCTCATCTCTCCTTCCCTCCTCTTTCTCTCCCTCCCTCCCTAACCCCCACCCTGCATTTGGATGTAGGTCTTACCTCTACTTCAGTTCCAGCTACCTTTCCTCTCATTTCTGGGCGTGAGGCTGAATTTCCCTTTCTGTTACAAGGACAAGACACTTCTCCTTGGGTATCTGAATGTGAAGCTATATGTGAGACTGACTCTTCCCTTGCTATAAGCTACCTAGTTTCCCCTCCCCAGTGACCTAGGTGTACTTCCCACATATTTCTGTCCCTAGACTCTCTCTGGCTTTCTTTCACCAGGGTCTGGGTATAATGCAGACCCTCTCTTTCAGTATATCTTTGTTGGAATCCTGGACAATAATAACAGGGACAGGCTGTGAGTGATAAATTTTTTCTCCCAGCCTTTGCTGCCTTCCCACACCACCTTCATGCCCACACCCTTCACACTCCAAGTCTGGCAGTTCCAGTTGTTCTTCTCTTCTTGGAATAAATCTCTCAACATCTGACTCATCTCCCAACCTCTTCTCATCCTCTTCCTCTTCTTCTTCCTGGGAAATCCTTGGTGACTATATCCAACATTTCAGGGTGAGAGATGGTTCAATATAAGGAAGATAATGGCCAAACTCTCACAGTAGCTGCAAGTGGGACTTTCACTAGTTTCCTTCCCATTGTTTTCCATGGCCACTTAGAAAGAAAAAAAACTCGTACTGAGTTGGGAGGGACTGAGATAGTAAGTGGATAAGCAGAATGAAATTCTGTTCAAAGATAGGAGTAGTTCCACCTGTATAAGGGTGAATAAATGGGGATGAATATAATGGAGTAACATCCCTGCCCAAATCAGTTGTCTCCACTTGGACAACACCACTATTATACTTTGCACTCTCTACAAGATCCATCTGCCTTCTTTTCAGTCATAAAAATTTCTTTTGCATGACATCTTTTGCATCACTTCTACACAATTCCTCATTTTTAATATGCTGCTCACATCCCTACCTATCCTTCATGTGATTCTCCATTAACATTTGGGTAATGCTCAATTTCAGTGCTTCAGAGACTTATTTCATGACTTCTGGTCAAACAATATCACCAAAGAATATTATTGTTTAAAAAGAAAATTGGGTCTTTATTTAGGGGAGCAGCTTGGAGTCACTGGAATGTAAGCTCCTTGATAGCACAGACTGTTTCCTTTTTTTTTTTTAACTTTATATCCCTAGCACCAAGCACAGTGCCTGGTAAAGAGTAGGTGCTTGGTAAATTTTTGATTGATTAATTGATTTGATTGATTAATTGATTGATAGGTTAATTCAATTGATTCAAAGTACTTCATAATTTCCCAGACACATTTCAGTCCACTCTCCTCTCTTTCAGTTCTGGGTCCAGCTCATTGACTGTATGCTGTGGTGTCTAAGATGCATTGATGTACCAGCTCTGTGGGTTGTCCGTCCAATCCTAAATCATATTCCAGATAATATGCATTCTTCTTATACTTTTTTGTATAGTGATTTATGTGAAAATTTTGAGTAATTGTGGATCTCTTTTACAGGGATATACAATATTCTTGGGTTTGATGCAATCAGCACAATTCATCTACAAACAGGAAAATCAAGAGGACCACATGGCCTATAGATAATCCTTTTTCCTTTTAGACAGTTTTTCCTTTTTTTTTAAATTAATTTATTTTTAGTTTTCAACAGTCACTTCCATACATTTTTGAGTTTTAAATTTTTCTCTACCTCCCTCTCTCCTCCCTCTCCAAGACGGTGTACAATTTGATATAGATTCTACATATACATTCCTATTAAACATATTTTCACATGAGTCATGTTGTAAGGAAGAATTAGAACCAATAGGAGGAACCATAAGAAAGAGGAAACAAAACAAAACAGAAGAAAAAAAGAGCAAATAGTATGCTTTGATCTGCATTCAAATTCCATAGTTCTTCCTCTGGATGTGGATAGCATTTTCCATCATGAGACTTTTGGAGGTATTAGACAATCTTTATGACAATGGTAAATACCTTTGACAGCTCATGTCTCTTCTCTATTTCCTGCCTGAAATTAATAATCAGAGAGTTTTCAAATAACTTGTTTTCTCTTTCAAGGAGTCTTATATAATTATGTATGACACATACATGGGAGATACATTGGTGGGGGAGAAAAGACACCATGTTGCTTTACTGAGTCAAATGCTTCTTTTTAAAGTCAATAAACAATAGGTATAATGGAAATCTGTATTCTCTATCCAGGGTTGGGGAACCTGTGCCCTTAAAGCCACATGTAGCCTTAATTAACTTCAAAATTAACAAATAGTTTTCATTTTTTGAAATTATTAAGTATGTAGTAGTTAGATTTTTACAAAATAATGTACATTTTTAAATATATCTAGGTTAAGTTTCTTGAATGCGGCCTTATTTGATTACAGCTAGATTTCCAACATGAAAAGGTTCCCCACTCCTGCTCTACACCTTTCAGTCAACTGTGTGACTATAAAGATGTTGTCTGCTGTAGAACATGATGTGTGAAAGCCTGCCTTTTTCCTTCTTATACCTTCATCAATGATTTCGTCAATGGCTGTGTAAATTATTCTCATAAAAGTCTTGTGGAAATGGGAAATAAAACAAATGGATCAATAGTTATTGATATTTCCTTTGTTGCTTTTTGGGGGCTAATAATAAAGTCTATGTACTAAGCAGTTGTGCCTGCTTCATTGATTCCCTGTCCCATTCCCCACAATGGCTGTTTCAAATCTTTTCTTATTTCAAGCCTCCTCTACCAAATCTCCCCCACCTCTAGAGCTGAACACTTTGTCTCAGGCTGTACTGAGAAAGTAGAGACTAAGACACATGAACTTCCCTTTTATCTCTTCTCTCCATGCCCAAGCCCCTTGAAATTATCCTTCCAAACTCTCTTTATCTGTTCTAGTCTCTGATGAAGAGGTGGCTCTTCTAGCTAAGACCAGCCCCTCTATATATACACCCTTGTTGCCGTTCTTTCTGCAGATTACCTCCACAGTCATCTCCCATGTCTAATTTTCAGTCTTTCCCTACTTACTAATTCCTTTCCTGCTACTTAAAAATATACACGGGTCTCCACATCATTAAAAAAAAACCTGTCACTTAATCCTACCATCCACTCTAGTTATCATCCTACTTCTTTTCTTCATGGACTCCCAAAGAAAGTTGTTTATGACATTGCCTTCACTTCACCTCCTTTTACTCAGCTCTTAGTTCTATGAAATCTGGCTTCCAACCTCATCATATAGTTGAAATTGCTCTGTCCAAATTTATCAATGATATTTCAACAACCTTATCCATCTCTTCTCATTATCTTTCCTGTCAAACCCATCTCTATTCCAAACTTTCCTAATTCTATCAAGGACACCATTATCCTAAAAGTCACACAGGTTTGCAACCTTGAGTAACCTTTGATTCCTCAATCACCACATACATCCCATTGGATCATTTGTCAGATCTTGTGAACTCTAAGTCCAGAACTTCTTCCACATCAGTCTTCTTTTCTACTCACCTGGCCATCACCTAATTCAGGCTTTTGTCACCACCTGCCTTGACTATTACAATTGCCTTCCAATTGGTTTCCCTGTCTCAAGTCTCTTTTCTCCCCAATCTGGGGAGAGTGTCTGGCTAAATTTTCTTTTTAAACAGTAATATTTCTTGATAGTATTGTTTGACTGTGAGTCTTAGGAAGATTCTGAAGATCACCTGGCAGGATAAGGTATCAGACACTGAGGTCCTTTCTTAAACTAAACTGCCAAGCATTCAAATCCAGCTTCAGAGAGTTCAAAGATGGGCTGGCCACATTGTTTGAATGTGAAATGTACACTTGCCAAAAAGAACAGAGGGAGGGAGGGATCAAGGAGGGAAAAGGAAGGAAGGAAGGAAGGAAGGAAGGAAGGAAGGAAGGAAGGAAGGAAGGAAGGAAGG